GTAGAGCTTATTCAGAAATGGTACTTAACTCCAATTGAAATGTGGCAGAGGTTGTTCAGCCTAGGACTGTAGCCCTGAGCTTAAACATTCCCAGAAGCAAATGACATTGAAATTAGGAGTGAATATTTAAAACCAGGATAATAAGTCTGCCTGTGACTCTGCAAGGTAGAAATGTACTACAGGTAGAAATGTACTGCATGTTCTGCAGGTAGAAATACAAATATGAAAAATCCCAAAGGTGGTTTTTCAAAAGGCAGTTGGACTTCCTTGGTTTTCTCCTTGAAAATGTTTCGAAGCGAGACATTTTCAAGGAGAAAACCAAGGAGGTCCAACTGCCTTTTTTAAAGCCACTTTTGGGACAACTGTGGCCTGGATGATGGAGAAACTCCAGTGACATGAATGTGAAAACTGCCTCTCCACTCCTTTTGTAACAGTAATGGAGAATCCGATGAGCAGCTCATCACCTCCTTCACGTATTCATGAAGATGATGGCTCAAAGGAGAACACTGAGGTGCCATCTGGGTGAGTAGCTTATTATCTAACTTTAGAGTGATGCCTACGTCACTCATTTTCTCTCTCTCTCTGCCTCTCGTCCCTTTTCCCAACTTGATGAGCACATCACCTGGGAAATAAGAATGACCTTCCAGTTTTCACTGCCTTTACAGTTTTCATGTGCAGTAACGTAAGCATTTCAACTGTAGTGGGATTTGAAAGAGTGCAGAAAAGAGTAAGAAAGGTGATTAGGGGACTGGAGGCTAAAGCATACGAAGAACGGTTTCAGGAATTGGGGATGTCGAGTTTAAGGAAAAGAAGGACTTAGGGGTGACATGATAGCATCTTCCAATATTGGAGGGGCTGCCCCAAAGAAGAAGTCAAGACAAGAAGCAAAGGATGGAAACTAACAAGGAGAGAAGCAATCTAGAACTAAGGAGGAATTTCCTGATGGTTATAATAATTAACCAGTGGAACAACTTCCGTCCAGAAGTTGTAAATGCTCCAACGCTGGAAGTTTTAAAGAGGAGATTGGACAGCCATTTGTCTGAAGTGGTATAGGCTTTCCTGCCTAAGCAGGGGGTTGGACTAGAAGACCTCCAAGGTCCCTTCCAACTCTATTATTCTGAATTACAATGGCATTAACCGAGTTGGGCTATTCTCTCCGAATGGTTCATTTTAGCCCAGGCCTAATATCCTTCTGAGTTTGTGGGAGAGGATTTTTTTTTTTAAAAAGGATTTATTTGGCATGTTTGTCGCCTACCTTTCTCTCGCTCTGACCTGATAGGGGGAAAAAAAACAAAAAACCCACCCAAGCCCCAAGCTATGGCAGCTGCAGTCATACGTTTCCCAGTGAGCTGTTTTCAGACAGATGAATGTGCTGCGCCCAGCAATTTATTACCATGGGCTCAGAACGCTGTGGAACCACACGGTGGTGTTTCCTATCACTCCAAGGTTGTTTCGTTTTTAAAAGAAAAATCCTTCCTTTTTCTTTTTTCTTTTTCCTCCCCAGTGCAACAATCAGCGGTGGTGTGACCATAAACGAAAGCAAAAAAAAACGAGAGCAGTCTAGATCAAAGTCGGCATCCCAAACAGACTTAGAAATGGTGCCTGAAACCTACTGAATAATAAAACGCGGGTTTTTTTTTTTTTTTTTTTTTGCCTTCGGTCCTCCTGTGAAGCTTTCAGCCCTTTATAATACGGAGCTTTTGCTCTTCTTACAAACAAAATTTATTCCCCCCCCCATAACACACCCCGCGGAGGTCAGAAATCGTTCTTCTCCCTGTGCAAGGCCAGCTTTTTCTTTGCAACAAGCAAGGGCGGCTTTTTTGCCACCCAGGGTCCCTTATCAGCTGCTCTTTGCCGTGCCCACTCTCCGAACATGTCTCAGTTATGACATTTTGGAGGGGCCTAGCGGATGGAGATGAATTGGCGCACTTGAGCGTAGCTGTGTTTTGCGGGCAACGGGAACGTGGGAGACGATCCGAATCTCTTCTCTCTCTTATTTTTTCTTTCAGGCTAAATCATTCAGAAGGATCGTGCTGTGGCAGCGCCTCCCAGTCTGCCAACCGTCCCGATTTTGCCGAAGACCTCTTGCAAAACCAACTGTTGCGCCATGATTCATTTAGTACGGCTGATAATAGCGAACTGAGGCCGGAGGAGGAGGTGAGCGGAAATGCAGCCTCTTAAAAGATTTCCTCCTCCACCTACTTCTTCTCTCCATTCATCTTTTGTGCATAAAGGGGCGGGGGGGGGGGGAATCCATTATTTATATTTTAATTATGGCAATCCTGCCCCCCCCCTGCAAGGGGGTCGGGGAGGGGGGGGCCCCCAAAAATAAAAACCCCCCCGTTCCCCCCCCCCCCGCCCAGCAGGTTGTGATGATTGGGCTGGAACGGAAGCTGCCTCTTGGCACAGGTGAACGAAAAGGAGTCCTCGACTTACAACGGTCTGTTTAATGAGCGTTTTGACATGACAACGGGTGCTGACAAAAGGGGCTTGGGACCCAATTTGCAAACTTAGCATCCCCCCCCCAACAGTCACGCGATCCAAATTCAGATGCTCGGCAACCGACTCATATTTACGACGGTTTGCAGCGTCCCCGGGGGTGTGTGTCACGTGACACCCCCTCCCCGCCCTTGGCGACCATTGACAAGCCGAGTCAATGGGGAAGTAGATTCTCTTAAGCATCAGTTTGCTCACTCGACAACGGCAGCAATTCGCTTCACGCACGGCGGCAAGGAAGGTCGTAAAGCGAGGCGAAACTCCCCTGACAGCTGTCCTTTCTTAGCAATGGAAAGTTTGGGGCTCTCTTGGTGGTCGTAAGTCGAGGACTCCCTGCGGTTTGTTAAAAAAACGCGGGAGAGGATAATGTCTTTTTAAACGAAGCGAGCAAACAAGCGATGGGTTTTGAATTGTCTCCCTAACAGCAGAGAGCCAAGAGAGGAGGCTGGTCTAAAGGGCGGAAGAGGAAGAAACCGCTAAGGGACAGCAATGCCCCCAAATCCCCCCTGACGGGCTATGTGAGGTTTATGAACGAACGGCGGGAGCAGCTCCGAGCCAAGAGACCCGAGGTCCCGTTTCCCGAAATCACCCGGATGTTGGGCAACGAATGGAGCAAACTCCCTCCGGAGGAGAAACAGGTACTGCTGTATTACAGGTACTGCTGTATTCGCCTTTCCCCCCCTTCGGGCGCAAAGTTTTCTGGCTGGGCTCTCCAACCCTGGGCCCCCTTGAGGACTGGTGGACTTCAACTCCCCAGCTGGGGAATTCTGGGAGTTGAAGTCTTATTAAGTCTTCAAGGGGCCAAGGTTGGAGAGCCCGTTTTTTTTTTTAATGGCATTGGATGGCATCTTCACTTTCTTTGGGGAAGCCAAAAATAAAAGAATCCCAAGGATTCAATCCATAGCACTGATAATGTTACTTAGCTGGGTAATGAAATGTCAGAGAGCATCAAGAACCCCACAGTTGTCGTCCTCTTCCTCTTTCTCCTCCTCCTCCTCCTCTTCCTTCCTTCCTTCCTTCCTTCCTTCCTTCCTTCCTTCCTTCCTTCCTTCCTTCCTTCCTTCATCTTTCTTCCTTCTCCTCCTTTTTTTCTCCTCCTCCCTTCCTCCTTCCTCCTCCTCCTTTCTTCCATCTTTCTTCCTTCTCCTTTTCTCCTTCTTCTTCCTTCTTCCTCTTCCCCCTTCTTTCCTTTTCCTCCTCCTCCTTCCTCCTCCTTCTTTCCTCCTTCTCCCTTCCTTCATCCGCCTTCCACAAACCCACCACCTTCAGAGAGCACCAAGGACCCCACCCCATTCTCCTTCTCCCCCCCACAATCCCCACACCCTTCTAGCACTGATAAGGTTACCTAGTTGGGCAATGAAACGTCTGCAAGAAAACCACCAAGCTCCGAGAGCACCAAGGACCCCCACAGTTGAAACCTCAGCTGCACCTACTCTCTTCTAGGGGAGGATGCTTTCTAAAAGACACCTTCCCCTTGGACCTGTCGTTTTTCAGTCATCTCATGAAGCCGGTTAGCCCTTTCAAGGAGGCAAATGAGTAAGTGTGACAGGTAGGAACGTGCCTTGGTGCACGGAGAACGTGGGGAAATGTCAAGGCAGGCTGATGGAACGCTGCCGCCTTTACATTCTCCGGTACAGCTGGTGTCTCGGGCAAAACAGATACACACCGAAAGAACAGACTGAACAGGATGCAGATTGGAAATGCGGGGACAAAAGGGATGATAATTCACCTCCCCTTTGAGAACGGCCGCTCGCCCATGTAGGGAAAACACCCAGCGTATAACGGGGGGAGGAGCCTTGCCTCGTTCTTCTTTTCGGTCCAAAGGACGAAACCCAAAGGAGGTTGGCTGACAGGCTGACGTGCTTCATTTAGTGAATTTTTTCTCTGTCGGAAGCCGACCCTCGAGCAGCCGCTTCCAGCTTCCAGGGTCTTTCATGGGTCTCCTCAGAAGCAAGGCCTTGGATTCCCTTGGGTATATAGGAGAGGCAATGTCCTGTTAGCCCCTTTGCCTTCCTGAGTGGCTTGCAAACTCGGGGGAAATAAATCAGGCTGGTGGACACAGGGACCAAACAGAAGCCACAGGAGAAATGCAAAGCAGGTCACACCCACGCATGGACAAGTCCAAAAAGCCACTCGCAGAACTTGGCGACGTTTGCAAAAAAACAAAAACAAAGCACCAACCCAGCTCAGAGAGCTCCAAGCCCCCCCCCCATCCCAATTCCAGATTTTCATTGGCAACAGGACCTCAATACCTCCGCGGGCCTCGCTTTTCCCTTTACACAGGTAGTCCTCCACTTACGACCGCGGCTGAGCCCAAACATGCCTGTTGCTGAGTGAGGAATCGGTTTGAGCGAGTTTTGCCCCCTTTTTACGCCTTTCCCTCCCCCCCCCCCAGTTTCTTAAGCGAATCGCTGCGGTTCTCAAATGAGTAGCACTTCCCCCTTACGTTTTCCTGGTCAGAAGGTCGCAAAAGGGGAATCCACTGCGACCGTCGTAAGTGTGAGCCAGGGGCCAAGCGCCTGAATGTAAGCCACGTTGACTGTGGGGGATGCTGCCATGGCTGTAAGCGTGAAAAAACGGGCCCAAGTCCCTTTTTTCCCCCAGTGCCGTCGTAACTTTGAACGGTCACTAAGCAAACTGTTGTAAGTCATATGCTGACCCAAACTCTTGTCCAATAAAACAAACATGAACCAAAGGGAACAGAAACCTTTTAATGAGTCTTACAAATCCCCGGTTAAAAGGCTGCTGCAAACGAATTAACTCTGATAAGCACGAGCCTCGCCAAAACTGTGCGAGGCTGCCAAGAATAACAGATAAGAAATATTTTACAACACAAGAGTCTTCAAATACCAGCTTAAGATACTGTAATATCCACGAGGTTGAGTTTCAAAACGTCTTTGCTTCCTGCAAAGAACGTCCGATTCACGGCTGGGTTCTATCTTCTTGAAGGAGGGGCCATTACCTTGCAGCCTTACTCCCGAGTTGCCCGTGCTGCTGCAGCTGCTCTTTCCTGCGAGCAACCCTGCGCGCACGTACACTTAGCACAGGCTCCTCGGGAACCTCCTCATCGTTGCTGCCAGCCCCCACAATCTCTGAAGGCAGCAGTCCACTCCCTAATGGTCCTGGCCCCTCATCTGAGTCCTCGCTCTCCTCAGCCGTCCGCACCTGTTGCCGGCTAACCACAACAGTCGGTTGATGCCTGTTGTCATTTTGCCTCCTTCGAAAACACTTTGGAAGGAAGTTAATATTCAGGCTGCGCTGTAGCAATACATTGT